TATGGCTCACATCTATTTTAGCTTTCCTTACTAACTGCGCACAGGAGGTTCCTGGGTAACGGGCTCGTTATACTTCAACAACTTTCCTACCCTAAATGATCTCGTTTTCGGTAATGGTAACAACCTCACTGGGTGGCTACTGGACCTTGCGTTTGCCTCACCCGACGGCGACGATGTATTCTCAGAATACAATCAGTACTTTTATGGCAGTATTCTCTGGAGTGTAATGTCAAAGGCCAATACCGGAATGTAAGTATGCCATTGATGCTTTTGGAATGATACATTGACTCTGCTGCGTAGAGACACGTCCATCACCGATCCTTGGGCAAGAATGATCTCCTACCATTTCCTTAACCAGACCAGTCGCAGCAACTTTTTCACCAATGACACTGCTCACGGTGCTGGGCAACTCTGGTCCAATATACCAACGATACCGGCTTGGCAGCAGCGCCTAACACCTTTTCCTATCCTCGTCACAGATTCCCGACCACAAGGAGATAATGCTACCACCGCTTTGGGTTTGACTCCTACCGTGTACGAGGTATAATCTTATTTGCTTGTAACAACCGTGCAGTCGTTTTAACTGTTCACACGTGTAGATTACGCCTTTCGAATTTGCGTCGTACGACCCCGGCCTATCAGCGGGCGTCAATCTCACGTTTGCTGGTACACCGATGACAAACTCAAAACCTGTCAACGCTTCTGCCTGCGTAACTGGTTTTGATCAGGCTGGGTTTATGATGGGTACCAGTGCCAGTTTGTTCAATGTAAGTGTCAACTAGCATAATAATCAACAAGTATTCATCGTCCATCAGCAAATTCTGGATTTTGCCCACAATACGCTTCAAGATTTTTCTTCTTCGGATTCGAATGCCTTGCTTTATGTGCTATCTAGGCAATTAACTGAAGTTCGAACTCGAGCCGACGACGTGGCAAACTGGTATTCGCCGTTTAACGGTCTCAAACCATCGACATATGAGGATTCCAACTCTACTTGGCTGTCGTTGCTCGACGGGGCTTCAAACGGAGAGAATATCCCCTTGGCGCCTCTTTTCGTAAAAGAAAGGGCATTAGATGTCATAGTGCCTTTGGATAGCAGTGCGGATGACACGAATAATTGGCCCAAGCAAGTCCTTTTTATAGATGGCTACTATTTAGCTAACATAGTCACCGCAGTGGAACTGGATTATTGATCAGCGCGCAGCGGCAACAACAACTTCTCCAAGCATCTCATCAGGCGTTCCCGCCTCTACCTCAGGATGCACAGGCTTTCATCGATACCGGTGCTAGAGAGCGGCCGACTTTCTTTGGCTGCGATCCCACGCAAAATCCCCCAGAGTTCCCGCTGATTATATATATCCCCAACACCCCGCCGTTTAATGGCGACGCCCCAGCGGCAAAGTGAGTCATTCAGTATATCATTGTTTCCAAACAGCGGTTCTCATCTCATCCATAGCACTGGCACCTTCCAGCTACAATACACAGCAAAGGCATCTCAAGTACTATTCGACCAAGTGCACAACAACACCATATCTGGGTTCGTCCCAAATACCACCCACGCCGATCCAAACTTTGGCAGGTGCCTCCAATGCGCTGCTGTCGATCGGGCACGATATAAACTGTCTCCCATAGTGAATCGGTCTGAGTTTTGTCAAACCTGCTTCACGCAGTACTGCTTTAATCCTGAGGCTCCTCCCAGTCTTTCAGAGGTCCCCGATCGACAGCAATTGTTTGTTGACCCAGATCCGCAGGGACTGGTAGACTTTTTGTCTGCAAACAAGTTCAAGTTAATTGGTGGACTGGTCGGTCTCATTGTGTTCATCGCATTACTTGTTGGGGGACTGTGAGTTTTTCAGCATCTTTCTTTACTGTGAGCTCATTTTTATTGTTTTAGAATATGGTGGAAGAAGCGCAGGGACAAGCAATTCTTTACGCAATACCATCAAGTCAGCGCACTTCATGAAGAGGAAGAGGCGACGATGAAGAGGTACACTCAGTATCTTCGTCCAGAAGCATATGAAATGCCGTCTCACAGAGGCTCGCTCTACTCTGACCATGGGTCTTCAACGGCATTTTAAACGGGGTCAGGGTTTTGTGGACAATCTTTTGCGGACATCTTTTCGGTTGATCTTCTCACTTTACTTACGCTTTTACATTTCACGGACTTATGAATATTGTTTTCATACTTACAGCCTACTGCCTCGATGACCCTTTACGCCTCTGTTCATAATGACATCGCATTTACAGTATATTAGTATAATAAATCTTACAAAAGCAAAAGCAAAAGCAAATTTCAGGTAAAGTGAAGGTTACAAAGATCTTGTCAACAATATAGATCCCGTATTGTTTTACATCGACTAGGATATCTCGTCCAATGTCATGTCGCCAGGAATCGAATCCAAAACTTGAGAGGTGGGTGTTTTCGCAATTCTTACCTCAAAGCTCTTATTCAGACTCACAAGTGGAGGTTTTGCCATCCTTGTGAACCTGGTCCCCAGTTTCATCTCGTGTGGGACTGCGACAGACTTGTACATGTCCAACTCGTTCTGGAGGTTCTGATTTTGTGCAGTCATTGTCTCATTTGTTCGCGTCGACAGTAGGAGTTTCTGCAGCAAGACGTTAGCGAGACGAAGCATGGTAATTACTTCAAACTGGACTCGCCTGTTTGGTATCTGATAACTCGTTCCTTATCTTCTCGACGTACATTATCCTCTGTCCAGGATTCTGGTGACCGATAATCTCAGCATTGGCTTTGCTCAGTCGTTGAGCCTCGTCCTCTGCCAAAGTGTTACGAGCTAACAGTCCTTCTACTTCTTCTGACAGCGAATGATAGGCTTCCTGGAAGCGCTCAGCGTCCGTAAGCTCATTTGTTAGCCTTATGCAAGAAATTTAATACAAGCTCAAAGATCGAAAAGCAATACTTACTGCTCATTTTCTGCTCTCAGCCCATCCTCTGCCATACGCAACTTTTGAACTGCGATCGTTAAACGATGGACGACATCCTTTTCCTTCCGCAGTGCATCCCCACTCTTAAGGACCTCTGTCTTCAACATTGCTTCGAGCTCCGTTACCTGTTGCTTAAACATATTCGACGACGATCTGAGGCTTTCAGCAGTAACAGTCGTTACTTGCAAAAGCTGCTGCACAGTGTCTCGCTGCATTTCAACCTCCCGGAGTTTGGAAGCAACAGCAGCAGTTGCCCGTAACTCTGCCTCTACATCTGCATACGCCACCAGTAAATCATCATTTTGTAGATGATACAATTCCGCTTCCAACTGCAGATTTTCAACGGTAGTCCGTGTGATGTTTCTTTCCAGTTCCTGCTGGTCTTGGTCCAGACAGGCGATAACATCATCCAGTATAGCGAATGAAGGCAGTAAGGGGGGTTGCGCAGCTGCGCGTTCGAGGGAAAGTGATAGTTCTTGTTCCATATGTTTCAGAGACCTCCGTAAGAGTTGGTTTTCCTCTTTCGTTTGTCGGATAAGATTTGCCAACTCAGATACCTGTCCCTCGGTATTCCCCAGTTTCCGAGTGAAACGTGCAACTTGTAGCTGGAGATTGGCGTTTTCGAGCCTGATTCGTTCATATGTGGGTTTTGGAATCATGCTTGCAGCGAGCACACTATACTGCTCTGCTACCTTTCCAATCATATCATTGTGTTCTCGAAGCTGTTCCAAAAGGGATTCTTCTGTGGATTCCGCATTCGAAGTCGTTTTATGTAGTTCGTCGCGAGTTATAACCATCTCCAGCTTCAAGTTTTCCACCGACAGTTTCATCTTACCAGCTTCAGCGTCCTGCTTCAACTTTGTTTCCTTCAGCTGGTTCTCTGCCATCTCACGTTTCTTCCTCTCGGCAGCCAAACTCTTTTCCAAGTCCGCAATCCTCTTATCCCGTTCCTTCATTTCATCTCTCCGCATTGTCTCTAGCGACTGTAATGCTTTCTTCGTATCCGCAATGTCACCGTGTTTTGCCGTCATCTGGGATCGCTGGTGCTCCGACATGCGAAGTTTCACCCCAAGGTCCTTGATTTCGGCTTTATCAGTATTGGCAATCCTTTTGAGCTCTTCCACACGCTGCTCAAGGGCTTCTTTCTGTTTCTTTTGTTTGTCCGCGCGCTCGGTTAGTTCGGAATTGGCTTTCTGGAGACGTGCGAGCTCAAGTTTCAGTCGTTCAACTTCGACTTGATGCTATAATAAGCCTTAAGATTCGTCGGAGACTAGTTGAAATTATCACATACTGTTTTCTTTCCATCGTTATGTATCCTTTCCAAATTATTTACCTTGCACTGAAGCACGGTATATCGGTCAGCGGCATTGAGCGTGGTGCTAGGCTTCGATGTGGTCCTCTTGAGGTCTGAGTTCACGCGAGGTCAGAACATATCTAGAATGGTAAAGTTTAAAATGCACCAGGAATTTCGGACATCTTTTGCTTTGAAAATATACTGGAACGTCCTTCGTTTACAAGTTGCCTATGGGTTTTCCCCAGATGAATAAGGTATCTCGACAATTGAGAGCACCTTGATATAATCCTCGGACCGATCTGGGACGACAACCAAGGTAAGCTGGTAACCGCTTGTCAAGGTCAGGAAGAAGTTCGAACAACTTGTTTGTTGAAATCACGTGGGCGCGGAATGCGTCAGGTCCGGTCAAAGCGCTTCGTACTCAACGTCACAACTCTCAACGCCATTCCTTGTTCACTGATGTTCGCTCAGTAGTATCATCAGTTGCTACCAAGATATGTGCATGGAGGAAAGTGTTCCGGCATCAAACTGCCGAGAACTTTCTTGACCGGGCTGCCGCTCCGATACGACCGGCTTAAAAAGTGCTATGTTCGTAGTGGCATACAGAGGGGGTAGGCAGGGCTACTCAAGCATCATGCTAAATATCTGTTACAGTCCAACCAGCTCTACCTATTATATCACTTATCTGAGTTTAGGGGCGGGTTTGCGCTCGCGCTGAGCCTCTCGGACTTAAATCATGCTGCTTCAAGTTCTTGATGTCGTCCCTGTCGATTAGTGGTCAAATCATCACGTTGTGGCTGTATATCTGCAACTCCGTGAAGCCGGGAGCTCGAATCTCCCCAGGGACATTACTTTTGATCTGTAACGCGGTGTGAAGCACGGCAAGTCCCCGACTCTGAGATCGGGTCCGAACCAGACTTTCTCCTTTGGTTATTAGTTGTAGAAGTGGAGGATAATGCTCAGTGTTGTGGTTGAATGATGGACTGCTTTCTTTGCTGTAAGTAAGTGGTCGGTAGCGGTTGGGCGTGCGCGTGAAGTGTTGGTGTTTTGTACCAGTGTTTTCATAAGCTAATTATTGCATGTGCTCATATATGTTATGGTGTTATTGTATTATTAGTTTTTCAATGTAGAGGCGAAAGCATTGGTTATCATTACAAAAAATGGTACTACATTAATGATTGAGGAATGAAACTACAGTTTGAATTTTGTCAGAGGTGAATAGCTTGATGTGTTTATGTCCACCTTGATTTACAGTTATCGCGGTAGGTCAAAAGAACTTGAACACTTACACGATGTACAGATGAGTTTGGGTTGATCAACAGAAATGTCTTCAAGCTACAAGTGGAGTAACGCATTCACCATCTGTGATACATCATCCTCATCTGTGCAATGAAACACACCTTCAACCTTTTTCAAAACACTCTTCTGAAGAAGTACATGATCAACTCCACCAGAATTCTGAATCAACTTGCATCATCTCAGAAGCCAATGCGGAGCCGAATACTTGCCTATAGCCTGGGCCAACATGCTCAAACATATTATCATCTTCAATATCAACAAATTCACCACATTTGCAAGCATATCAAACATATAGCAGCCTTCCGAGTTTTAAACCTCTTCCCAATCATCTGAGGAAGCACTGTAAACATAGAAAAAGGAAGCGAATTCAACAGCATTGGTATGATGGCCCAGGATCGTCTTTTCACTGAGAAAAATCTCTCATACTGTACTGTATACATAGCATTCATAACAGCAAAAGTGATCCTAGAAACAAGATATGGTGGCAGAGGTAACAGTAAAAGTGGTCCTAGAAACAAGATGTGGCAGCAGAAGTGTAATGGTAAAAGTGGTCCTAGAAACAAGATACGGCGGCAGAAGTGGATATGATGATACGTACGGCGATAGAGTTGTAGTGGTCGAAACCTGTGAAAACGTTATCGCCAAAGAGCATCATCCAATCAGTGTGCGAAGTATTGCGTCATAGCAGAAATCTGAAGGATCAGATAAGAAACGAGGTTCACAAGACCCTCTCTTCCCTTCGGTCAGAGTCGGGGATGCAAGCAGCTGCAATTTTTTCAATTTTAATCTGCATTGATCATGGCACAGAAACAAATGATTATTGACCAGCCAGACAACATTTACCATATAACTTGACCCCTGCTTTAGCCTTAATGGATACAACAGTACAACAATGTAAAGCATCTCCGAGTCTGATAGTTATATTGTCGACGCAGAAACTATCGGCCATCACTGAAAATCACTCTCGATCACCTCCCTCAGTCGTGAATACATCACAATAAAACTGATTCGTAGCAGACGACTACGATTTCGATTTCTTCTTTTTTTGCGGTTTCTGATTTTCTACTGTAGCCTCTTCGGCTTTCCGTTTCTTCTTCTTCATCCTCTCGTCCTTCTCCGCAGTTGCTTTTTCCACCTCCTTCTGATGCTGTTGAGTTAATTCAGTACTGGCTTCAGTCTGTTTCTTCGTCAAAGCCTGGAAACCGTCATCATCAGTATCAACAGCCTCGTCGCTGTCTTCTTCTTCTTCGTCGCCATCCATCAACATCCTATCTACGACATCCTTTTCCTCGCTGCTTTGTGCCCTCCCTAACGGGACGTGTAAAGGTGAAAACGGATCATGCTGTATGGATCCCAGTAGGGAAAGCATCTCGTTCGCAACCGTTAGCCTAGAAGGTTCCCGCGTCAGATTTGCGACAGATAGTGAGCGAACTAGAATTACATACCCGACAACGGTAAACTCGAGATACCCATCATCTTCACCGAGTGGGGATCCAGTGACGCGATGTATCCATTTTCCACTTCCTTCTTCCGACGAATGCTTTTCCTCATCCACCTCTGCACCAGCACCAAATTCTGGATCATTCTCCGCGGGGCCATACTGGAACTCCCAATTGTCTGTCGGGATATGATGTCGTGGTATTGAGACATTGAAAGTTTTGTGTACAAGTAATGATATGTGGTCTGGAGAGCATAGACTAATCTTTCCAACTAGAAATGAGTTCAGACGCGAAAAAAAGTGGTCATAAATGGCTCATCCACGTACCGAGTTTCATACCAACAAGTGGCCTCCAAACGGTAGCATCGAAAATAATTTTGCAAACCAAGAACGGACAATCGGCTTGGATAGCCGCCGTGTCTTCCTTGAAGGATACATTTGAATGGGAAAGGACTACGCCGTCAAGAGCTGGGATATATCTGCATACCGTTTAGAGCTCGTCAGAGCGGCTTGACGTGAACTTACCGCATAATCATAGAGTCCAGCATTTCTTCTACCCCAGCTCTAGGATTGTTTGAAAATACAGGGGAAATAGAAACGACCAAGGACGATTGAACAACCTGAAATGCAGTTTCCTTTCCTTTGCCCTTGTCTTTTTTTGTCTCTGTATCTGCATTTGGTGCATGCGATTTCACGTCTCGTTTAGTCTTTTTCTTCGGAGTTGATGTTCCCTCTTGGGACTGTTTCCGTTTTTTGAACGCCTGAGCTGCAACAGGCATGATGATTTCAGTCAAAAAAAAGTTATCGTAGTTCACGTGCCTGCCGGTCTTTTCTTCCGCGACTCTTAGCTCTGGCAGCATTTCGCTAAAATGGTCAGTGTAATGCCTAGTCTAATGTACTTTTTTCTCATAATCTTCTAGTCCTCACCTCGTGCTGTTATTCAAATTCTAATCACCGGTACTCAAATTTTGGGCAAAGCTTTTCTTGAAGCAGGACGGCAAGCAGCCAAAAGTGCGTCTCTGAAAAAGCAAAAATTTATTAAATTTGTTGACCAGTTATTCCAGATGCAAGAGCGCCAGCACATGCAGTGGGCGGTGATGTTGCTGGAGTTGGAAACGCTAGTTCTGGCTCAATAACAGACCAGCTCACACGACAACATCGGATGACTCTGGACGAAGCACATCTCATTCTAAACGTGAAACGGGGAGAAGAGATGGAAAATATTTTACAAGCACGCCCTTTACTATCTCTGCTTGGACTTGACATTTATTTTCTTTGAACAGCACTACGAGCATCTCTTCAAAGCCAACTCTCCTCCTGCACCTCCTCCGAAATCCGCAACACCTGCACCAAGAGCAAAGGCTGTCAACCAATTCCATTCACATTATCTTCAATCCAAAGTTGTTCGTGCTCGTGAACGGATAGAGGCAGAGAGCAAAATGGCGGCAGAAGCAGAGGTAGAGCAAAAATCTGCCACAGCAGATTCATCGCAACCTCCACCGCCTCCACCGCCTGCATCAGGATCATCCTGACCTAGACCACGGTGGCATACGTTATAGATCTAATGCATTGTATCCTCTTATAATGACACTCACACCTCATCCTCGTCGCACTATCCAAGGAATAATACGAGTCAGACAAAGGCGAATGGCCTTTAGTCGTTGAAACGTTTGTGCCGCACCGAACTATCCTTGCTACTACTTCCTTCGTGCGAGTGTACAAGTCACTCTTTCATGATCAATGGTGCTGCTGCCTTGGCGGTCCGTGTGTCAAAAGCAATACTCAAAACCCCGAGAGCGCCTCAATCACTTCTTTGTTTCTATCAGCAAAAGCCTGTTCGTTTGATTTCCTTCCACACAAAGGGCCTGAGATATAAAACGGAAATGCCCTTCGTTTCTGGATAACCTACTTTACCTTCCTTACTCTTTTTCGAATCCAAGCTGCAGGCAGCCAAAGTTGGTACGAACTTCATCTCACGTCATTCGATATTAAATGAACTCTTATCGTCAGTTAACATTTGTCGCTCCTTCCCAAGATGTACATGCAAGCTTTGCAACCCAGGTATGAGTGGCCGACTGACACAGAAGGGCTGTGGGACAGAGTACCATTGCCTCCGACCCACCTAATTTATGAATTGCCTTCCCTGGTCACTTTCTTTCGCGATGATTGCACAGGAGCGTTCGCTACTCTTGACTCGGATTCTAATTCACCTATCATTACTTGGTTTCCGCCTCTATCACCATTAGACAGCTACGTCAACGGGATCAATAATAGGCCCATTGAGGTAACTTCCACGATACCGGAAAAATCGTACATCTACTCATTGTCTTTTCAGCAGTATCCTAAGCGTATTGATACGACTCTGCCCGGGGTCTCGCCATCATCACCTCCCCCCGGTACAGGAACCCCTCCATTTCGACTTACCGTGCCGCGTCAAGCATCACCTGATGAGCTTACACTCAAATGCGTGCCGAACGAAAGCTTGCATATTCTTTCCCCGTCCAGTGAGAAACTCAACTTGAAGCGGGAACAGGCGTTCATTTGTCACAGCAGAATCACTCCAGGACTCACTGGTGGATCGGGGTCCCGATGTCCTCTCAAGGGGAAACACAAAGGCGACTTGAGCACTCCAATAGTTTATCTTGCCTCGAAATTCAGTTTTCCAGATAAATCTTTACATTCCGCTCCTTCATCTATCCACTTATCTCCACCAACGCGCCAACGGACTGTTGACATTAACCCCTTCACCTCCATAGACCAAGTCAAAACGCGACCTTGCACAAGACAGAGATTGCAAGCAACATCCCGAAGCTCTGCGAAACGTAGGCGTAACCATTGCGAGCGGTCATCCACTTCCGAACGTCCATGGACAACGTATTGCAGTCAATTCTCAAGTAGCCCGTTACCAGTCAATACAGCGGGACTCATGGATTACATGATGGACTATAACCTGACGAATAAAACTTGGAAAGATGAAGCACCCTATTTGAGGAATCGCAGTATGCAGGCGAAGAGGGAAGGGAGAGACTTGCAATGGAGGCTTTCCTTGACGTCCTTTGGCTAGATAATAACTAATCGTATTTCAATCCATCAATGGCAAGCACTGCTCAT